GACCTGAACCTGTTCAGCCTCAGCAAGAGGAGGCTGAGGGGGGACCTGGTGGCTGCCTACAAGCTCATCAGGGGGGATCAACAGCAAATAGGCAGAGCTCTTTTCTCCCCAGCACCACCTGGGGTGACAAGGAACAATGGTAATAAGCTGATGGAGAATAGGTTTAGGTTAGAGATCAGAAGGCAATATTTTACAGTTAGGATGGCCAAAATCTGGACCCAACTTCCTAGGGTCCTCGCCCCTACCTTGGGCAAATTCAAGAGGAGGTCGGACAATCACCTGTCTGGGGTCTTGTGAACCTAGCATTTATTCCTGCCTGTGGCAGGGGGTCAGGCTAGATGATCTGTTCAGGTCCATCCTGACTCTAGCTACTATGAAACATGGTCCGCTGGGTGGCAAATCAGCTTAGTGGTTGCACCCAGAGAGTGGTAGTAGATGGGTTGGTATCAACCTGGAAGGATGTGGGTATTGGGGTCCCTCAGGGTTCAGTCCTTGGACTTGTACTCTTCAATACTCTTCAATATCTTCATCAGTGACTTGGATGTGGGTGTGAAATGTACTTTGTCCAAGTTTGCAGACAATACTAAATTATGGGGTGAAGTGCACGCTCCGGAGGGTAGGGAATGATTCCAGGCAGACCTGGACAGGTTAGAAAAGTAGGCAGTACACAATAGGATGCAGTACAACAAGGACAAGTGCAGAGTGCTGCACCTAGGGCACAAAAGTATCCAGCACATCTACTGGTGGGAAGTGACCCTCTCAGCAGCACAGAAGCAGAAAGGGATCTTGGAGTCATAGTGGACTCCAAGATGAACACGAGTTGTCAGTGTGATAAAATCATCAGCAAAGCTAACCGCACTTTATCATGTATCAGCAGATGCATGACAAATAGAATCAAGGAGATGATACTTCTCTTCTATGCGGCATTGGTCAGACTGCAGTTGGAGTACTGTGTCCAGTTTTGGGCGCTGCACTTCAAGAAGGATGTTGATAGACTTGAGAGGGTCCAGAGGAGGGCCACTCGTATGGTTAGGGGCTTACAGGACAAGCGCTATGAGGAGAGACTGAGGGACCTGGACCTCTTCAGCCTCAGCAAGAGAAGGCTGAGAGGTGATCTTGTGGCCGCCTGCAAATTCATTAGGGGGACACAGCAAGGGATCACCAGGGCGCCCCTTGGGGTAACAAGGAACAATGGTCACAAACTGACAGAGAGCAGATTTAGTCTAGATATCAGGAAAAACTTCTTTATGTTAAGGGTGGCCAAAATTTGGAATGGGCTTCCAAGGGAGGTGGTGTTTTCCCCTACCTTGGGGGGTCTTTAAGAGAAGGCTGGACGGGCATCTGGCTGGGGTCATCTGACCCCAGCTCTCTTTCCTGCCTAGGTAGGAGGTCAGACTCAATGATCCGTTGAGGTCCCTTCTGACCCTAGCATCTATGAATCCATGAAGCTATGAATCTATAATGATCCTCCTGACCTTAAAATCTACAGACCATTCAGTATTGTCTTATAGGCTGAACTATATTTCACAAGATTTCTAAGAATGCAAACTGATCTATTCAGGGTACCACATGTACAGGAATCTTTTAAGAGCTTCCTTGTACTGTAGTATCACTAGACAAATGATGTGACCTTCCAAGAGATGTGGTAAATTTATTTTAGGGTGATACTTCTAGGACAGTCTGTTGATGCAATGCAATTTGCTCTCTTAGTTAATGACATTAAGCCTGCCTTTTTCTCTTCTTACAGAAGCAAATCCAGAGAAATTCAACAGTCGCTTTCGAAATAAAATGTTTTATGCTGGGGTGAGTTGGGATACGTTTTACAGGATGGTGTTTGTTTAAATTATTTACTATTCAAATTCCTTTCTCTGTCTCTGTCTTTCACCCTTGAGGGTAATGGCCATTTTTCCCATAGCCATTAGAAGTAAGCAGTTGTTGCTCCTGGCAATAGCATACATATATGTCCATCTGGAAGTTTGTGAAGCAGTATTGCCCCATAATGCCTAACATTTCAGATGAGTGCTGCAGCCCTTGGATGCAAGACTGATAATCTCCTGCACCCACTGCTGCAGATTGGCAGACATCTCAACAAAACACTCAGCTCTGTGGGCAGTACTTTGCTGCTGAATTTACTGGTGAAATTAGTAATGCATAGAGAAGAAAATCATTGCCTGTAACTTTATCCCCTGATGAGCAGTCCTGGATTTGAAGCTGGAGGGAAAGAACAACAGAGAGCTGCTATTTGGAGCCCTTCATTTTCATATTGAAAATGCCAACCATTTTTATCCAGAAGGAAAATGGACAAGTGTTCAGATTTATTTTATTCTGAAGTGGAGTTAAGAAAGGAAGATGTTGGCTGGATGGTGCATCACAAAGGTCCTTGCACGATCAGCTGCTTTAACATCCAAACAAACAAAAAAAAGCAAGAATTTGCATTTAGAGGCACATTGATGTTTCTTGGTTAAACCTTTCCATGTAGAGGCTGGTTTTTCACAATGCAGTACCTTGGAAGCTGCAAAACAAAAGAACCGGTCCTGCCTAGTGTTTCAAAGGACTTCAGAATTTGAAATAGTGCTGACTGCATGTTAGCAGAAGAGAGTTGTCTAAAACACCGTTAAAGCAGACAAGGATAGAATTTACATCAGCTTGGTATGTGGTAGCAAAGTATCGAGAAAAGTGAGGATAGCATAGGAAAGAAGTCCTAGATTGTTTAAATATAGAAGTCTGATATGATTTTCACCTTTTCCTATATGTTGCAGGCAGCCTTTTCAGACTTTCTGCAGAGAAGTTCCAGAGATTTATCCAAACATGTTAAAGTTGTGGTAAGTAGAGATAATTAAGATATCCCTTCTGTACTGTGAGACAGGTGCAGTGCATTCTGTGCAAACATATACCTTACCACACTGGACCACTGATTATGCTTTTTTCTGTTTCAATCGTGGTACCTGCGATCCATTTTTACAGTTATATGCAAGAAGATTGCCATGTAAAACACACCCTTTCCTAGCTCAAGGACAATGCATGGTGATCTCTATATTATAGAGAGATGGGTCACTGTATATGTGTCACTTGTACAGTCTGTTAATAAATGTTCTCATGGCAGTTTTCATTATGTCTGAGGTGCTGGTCAAAAGCTCTGCTGTGTTCTCTTGCTTTGGTTTTTGCAGTGTGATGGAACAGACCTGACCCCAAAGATTCAGGAGCTGAAGTTCCAATGTATAGTGTTTTTAAACATACCCAGGTAAACTCCATCTTTCTTTTTGGAGGTGAAAAGGAACAATGTGTGCCTGGTTTTGAAAGAAGTAATAGGATGAAATGGTATGAAATGGGATGCCACTGTGTTATCTGCCTGAGAAGTGGAAGACCCACAGTTTTATGACACTGTTAAATCCTGAACCACCAAAAGCTGTGGGTACCAAGTCTTAGGCCCATGTTAAGACCACTGTATAAGAAATTCATATATTTTGGGTGCCTCACATTTTAGGGGTGGTAGAAGTAATTAAGTAACTGGCACACTTTCTGGAGTTGTTCACTGGAAACGAAAACAAGGAAACAAAGACTTGGAATTGTCTTTTCTGTTGTTTTATTTGAAACATCACGGGGCAGGGGAGGAAAATCAATGATTTCCAGACAGACAGCTCCAAACTCATTAAAAAAAAAAAAAAAAAGTGTTTCTTGTCATTCTGGAAGGTGTCACAGTTAGTAAGGTATATAGTTGTATTGTTAAAATCCAGTACAACAGTCCTTTTTCTCCCTGTTCACTTCCAAGCATTCTTTTGCTGCAAAGTCCTCATGTTCTTTTTCTTCACTGGTGCCCTCTTTGCAAAGTTCTCTGAAGTTCTTCCTGTCCTTGTTTATTCAAGGTCCCATGTATAGCTACCCCCTAAGGATAGGAAGATGGAAGAAAATGCAGCAGCTGTTTTTTAGGTTTCCTCCACATTTGGCTTATCTTCCTTCTGCTCCCATACTTATCAGATTTTGCATCCTTTCTGTTCTCAGATTTTCTGGGTCAGGAATTAGAGAGGAAACAAAGTCCTGCAGACAAGAGTCTTAGTTGAAGCCCCTGGCCTGCTAAGGAGAGGCACAGAAGGCCTTATACTGTCAGAAGGCTCAAGCTAAAAATTCAGCTCGACATCTGATCTGCAGAAGGCAGAGGAAGCAGGGAAAG